TAGGTGAGGTACTATAGTGATTACCAGACCGTAGGGTACGACGGTTTAAGTCGTCAAATGATTCATCTATAACTTTCTCACTACTTCCTACCGACTCATTTAACTGTGTTCCATACTCAAAATCTATGTCAGTCTGGGCTTGATCATCGATGAGTTGGTTATCAGCAAACAGTTGCGCTAGGCGTTCGATTTCATCTACATTAGACATGGGAAACTTAGAAATTATCTATTAGCCCCCTTGGGTCAATGAATACTTAACATTAAGTAGATCACTTGCCTCTCATTTACAAGAAAAATGAATATGAATTGTAGTTAATTATTAAACTATCAATAAGAAGACAGACACTTACAAACTACTGTAAATTATAGGATTTCAATACATTAATCTTACATTCGACACTTTATCATTGAAATAATCCTATCCGACGAACCTATCGGTGTGAAGATATCTCTCGAACGTGTTCATGTGTGTAGAACTATGTAATTTAAATACCTATTTATACAGAGTAGTTAGTCTGTATAGAAAATGTGATCCGTCAAGACGAGTCCTGAGTCGAGTGGGTGGAGTGTGGGCGGGGCCTCTTCCTAGGATGCGTGCGCTGCTGCTGGTTTCCTTGGCAATGAAGACGCTTCTGCTTTGGTGAGAGACGAGTCCACTTGAACTAGGTGAGTTCCTCCTCCGGCGATCAGAAAACTGCTGATGATTGGTTATCACACTGCTCGTTGCTGGGTCGCTGGCGAAACTACCGTGTGCCAAGTCTTCACAGTCCACGTATATATGGAGATCTGTATGATGACACCGGAACTTCGTAATTCACGCTGACGACACAACAATACTGCTCAGCTGTTAGTGAAATACCAATTGTTAGTCCAGGCTACGAAACTTTTCTTCAACACTGCAACACTGTAATGTCTAGGAAATGCTGAGTGGAGTCTATCTCAACCGGCTCAATCTGGATATGTACCAACAGGCTGTAATATATGTATATTACGAATTCTGCACGTATTTGTATGTGACAGAGATAAGGAGCGCTCACTAAATATCGTCTCAATACGGGATATAGTTTTAAACACTCGGATTATGTAACGCGTCACTGCTGTGTTTTCTTGTTTTTCACAAAACACAGACGGATGATACGACTACCAGTTTGAAGAATCCGTACACACCGCTTGCCACCTATATGAATCGGCTGCTTGTCCAATTAACCAGTCCGTTCACACATGTTTATATTTGGGTTTTAGGTAACGAAACCCAAACGGTAGTTCCTTTGTTTTATTATAAAAGGTTGTATATATAATTCCTGAGTGTATATCAACCATAAGTCTCACTGTCTAGGAGTGAATGAGAAGGGGACGGCGTTTATGTATGATAAACGTTAGGGCACGTCCTTACGATATGAGTTGAGGTGAGCTACTGAAGCTTAAGGGCATCGCAGTGCGTGCTTACAGAAATGCTGAGCTATGGGTCTCGCCCTCTTGGGTGAGTTGCCCTCTCACGTGTCCATATCATGTCTTACTCATAGACAGTGGAAAGTTACAGGGTGGTGAATCTGAATATAATAACAGATGTATTGACCCATTTATATAATACGTTCTGTTGATGAGACAGGGGCCTATTACATATATATATATATATATATATATATATATATATATATATATATATATATATATATATATATATATATATATATATATATGCTGATATACCTAGATCACGCGCACCTACAGTGATTTACTTGCATATATATATATATATATATATATATATATATATATATATATATATATATATATAGAATATATATATTAAAATTATCATTTCGGTTATCCACCTATTTGGAAGATGTTCAAAATACATAAAAGCCCATCGGAAAAACATAATTTCGACTTATCCTAAAAACCTAACCTTACCTAAACTTAAAATCCTAATAGGAAAATAATAATAGCATTCATGTTAGCTGTTCGCCTTATGAACGCTGGAAAAGCATATAATCACAATAACATACATAAAAAAATGCAGATTTTGTGATCCACTGCTTATGAGGGATGGGCAAAGTGCATTTAATAAGATATTATAGGTTCCCTCGGGAAGAAATCTTAGACTTTGTAATGAACTACAGCCTGTAATAGGTCGTGTAACCCGCAGATCTCATGCTATTCCAACACACACCATAGTGGTGGCTGCTTTAATTAATCTTAACCTAACCTACCCCAGCCTAGCCTGTCCTACCTTATCCTAATTTTTCCTTTCGCAAACTTAGCCTATCCTAACCTGACCTACTCTTTTCTAACCTAACCTAAGCCAACATACACCATACAGGATGAACCTTACAGTATGAGCCAGTAAAATGTGGCTGAATAGCTCTTGATGCTGTTTACTCCACAATTACTGTATTGGAAGATGGATTCCTCTTTTGTAATAATGCTTGAACATGAGGATGCAGACGGCCCAGCAGTCAATAATAATGGTGGAAGTGGACAAAGTGTGAGGCAGCAGCTACTCCAAAATCACTTTTCCTGATAAATTTGTTAGTAGATTAACTTTCATAGAAATGATTGACATTATATTGATCCCACGTACAGTACAGTATAGTACAGTACTCAGTTTTGTTATACAGCCTGTAAATTAATAAACTGTCCAAGTTTGGAGAACTGTATTTCTTTTCATCAAATACATTTTATATTAATGTAGCAAAGCAGAAATTGGCTGGCAAATTAAAAAAAGATAAATTGTAGCAAGGATCCCATTTCTTGTTCTGTTTCCTGCTAATCTCTCCATTACCTGGAACTTTTCAAGGCCCGGAAATGAAATTGGCTGGAATTTATTCCAGGAAAACTCTTTCCATTGTGGGTCTCCAAACGAATTTCCAAGGTTGAAAGACAGGCATATTTTCTGAAAATTCGGAAAGTCTCTCCCTTTTTTTCCTGGTCTGTAAGCAAATTCCGAGGATGAAATACTGAGTAATTATGGAAAATTATGGAAAATTTCCAACTTTTTGTGCTCCAGGTCTGAGAACAAATTCCAAGGTTAGGTTAAGTAGCAATTTCCATAATCTTCCCAGTAACTGAAAAAATTCCAAGGATGTGGAATTTTTCCATGTTTGAGAGTGTCATCTCATTACCTGAAAATGCCTCATCCCTGGAAGAGCTCTGCACCAATTATTCCGGCTAACAGGGGTATCATTATTTATCATCTTTCCTATTAATACAGTAATCTACTGAACTTCTGTCAAAATTGATAGACTGGTTGCCTTGTAGTTTTTTCTATACTTTTCCTCTATTATTTACAAATCATCAATGTCTTTAATTCCAGCCAACATTTCTGTGTACATAACTACCATCATAAAGAATATTGTATTCTAACAATTCTCTGGTGCTGGTGAAGCACTTGGTATGTTATCCATAGGTAAGGGACATTAGCTTGAGAAATCAGATGGGTACAGATAACATGGCTTAAACAACAGGTAATATAATGGTTAAATATAGGAAAAAATAAGATGAAATAAATATCGGAAAAGGTTTGATATAAATTTGTCTTTGCAGAATAGTGTATGCTGAAAACAGTATTACTCTAAAAAATATGCATCATATTTATACTGTTTACAGTACTATATCTTAAATAGCTACTGTATTTATCTAATATTACACATTAATAAGCTGATGAAATCAGTAGTTACAGAACAATAAAAAATAGTAATTAAACCTGATTCTTTCACAGCACATGACTAAAGACTGAATCAAATGATAGAGACAGAAAATAGAATTTTATAACAAATGACTGAAACCAGATCTATTTCCTAATGATAAATGCAGTATAGTAATATATAAGAGATCTTGCAAGGTTATCTATTGTTCCTACACTTTTTTACTATTGTGGTTCCTAAATTCTATTGCTATTTAATCAGTCCCAGTATTTATTCATTGATTTTGGTCTCTTATTTTATTGCATATCTGAGAATTTTTAATATTTTGGTCTTTAATTTGAGTTACATGCTGTAAGTATATAATATTTTGGTGTCTTTTTTGAGTTAATATATGAGATATATTGACTAATCTTTCTTGAGTTGCCACCATCTATGGAACACCAGCACAAGATGATGAGTAAACAATGTGTATCTCATTCTGTCCTGAGACCTTTTGTTTTCCTATGCCTGTTAGTTATGTGAGGATTAGTTACTGGCATTTGTGGAACACCAGCCTCAGAAGATGAATGACCATTGACAGAGCTTCGGTCAGGCTTGATACAACCCACTGTTATATAATCATGATCCTTCAGGGAGCATGGTGGCAACAATGTTCACACAGTGTTCACACATATTATTGTGTGGTTCAAAATGACCTCTTGTACTAAGGTGAAGCTTTCGTTAATGTTTGCAAAACCAACACACATTTCTGAAATATAAAAGCATTTTAAAATGTTATCTTACTCCCATGAACATAGTAGTGTCTATTACTCTTTATTCATTAAATGACTTGTGGACAATCCTAATATACCTGTATATAATTACCTTTTATTCCACATAGTGTAGTATGGTAGGAAAAAAATTATGAGAGACTGAGATTAAATACCATAAGGGGATTATATGGTACAGGTATGACTAAACTTTGCAACTGTTTTGTAAGTTAAATATGTGTGTTCTTACTTTTTGTAGGTCTGCTAAGATGATTTAGGTTAGACTTTTTATAAAAATAACACTAAATTAGTAATCTTACAAGATATATTATGAAAAGTACACTGTCATAAACTGCTGTACTGTCCTATGTACGTATATGATCAAGTTAAGCCACTGGAGGAATGTTTAGTTCAACATCATTTGAGCCAAATTCCCCCAAAATTTATGATGAAATATTCTAAACCAAAACTATTCTTTCATTACCTTGCTCTTAGATTGGAATATTTTCTTCCTCACCCGGAATAAGAAGTGATAAACCTTCAAAATTCCACATCACCCATGACACCAAGAATTTTTTCTTCAGTTTCGGTGAAAGGTGGATAGTCAAAAGGATCTCCACCTGTAAGTCAAAATAAATGCATTAATAATATGTTAGTCAACTTTGCAAATTCTGAAACATCTTTATTTATGAGGATTAATATTTAGAAGTTGCCAACACCGACATACATGTATTGAGTCAGGTTAAAATATTCGAAAATTTAAAATTTCCGATGGAAATTCGGATCTTTTTGGTTTCATGTGCAGCGCTCAAAAAAATTTAATATATTTTTTATTGTAGACCTTTATAGCCCGTTAATTTTTTTTTTCTACCTCGAAATGTTAACCTAGCGTGAACCTGAATTTTCATATCAAAGGGTGTATTCTTTCCCTATACAAGACTCAATCAGGGCCGGCGCTACCCACTAGGCGAACTAGGCGATCGCCTAGGGCGCCAACATCTGGGGGCGCCACAAATTCAGGGCAAACTTGGATAAAATTAAAAATGAAGGGAAAACTGTGGTGGACACTGTGGTGGAGTCGTGGAGGGTCGGAGCAGGACGTTAGACGGGAGGGGGGGGGGTCGGAGGGAGGCGAGGGTAGGTAGACGGTAGCCGACTGTGTTTTCTTTTTTAATATTATTCGTTAACCCCCCGGAGGGACTAACCCGGGTCCTTATCTTTGGCGGCCTGGAGAACTGTCGAGCAGTGACCTGAAGGCTGACATCTGAGGAACCCTTCTCCCAACCCCACCATCCCCTCCCCTCCCTTACTGCCAGGGCGGCTGAGCCGCCCCTTCCCTGTCTTTGTCGGGATGAGGCAAGGTTACCTGACCTCTAAAGTTTACGTCAAGGATTTATTGACTTAATGTAATAACAATAATTGGTTATTTGCATGGGTGAAGTAATAAAGCCACAAGATGAAAACAATGTAGTAATGGGTTACTGTACCTACATTAGCTTATCAAAACTTTCAAGGGGGCGCACATCTAAAGGCTTGCCTAGGGCGCCAAATCATCTTGCACCGGCCCTGGACTCAATATATAAGTAGGTGTTGGCAACTTCTTAATATTTGCCATTATTCGTCTTATGACGACACTAGCAGCAGTAAAAAAGAAAATAAATCCCAATTTCCTCAAATGGCACGAGATAATGGTAAAAAATTCGAAATGTATTAGATAAAACTAGATTATTTTTAATAAAAATGCTATTCGACCCCAACTAAACACCTTTGAGGCTACCGCTGGCTATGAAGATTGGGTGCGCTCTGACCACTTTTTCACTGATTGAACTTTACACGATTTCTTCCATTTTTCGCGATACTCTTACCTCAGTGTTTCTCTTTATATAATATATATAAGAGAGTCCATTGTGTGTGATCATTAACATTACTTTGTTTTTGTACATAAGAATAAAAGAATGGAGGAAACTGAAACGGACCTATGGGCCTATACTGGGCTGTCCCGTTTACACCCAACCCCTATCTCTCATATATCCATCCAACCTCTGTTTAAAACTATCCAGCGTATTTGAGTTAATGTTGATATCTTGTTCCACACATCCATTTCCGGACCATTGCTTACCTATATATATATATATATATATATATATATACATATATATTGTTATGACCGTGTCGTATTTTTTCTTTTTTTTATATATAACATGCTCCCATGTTCCATATTATTCCTGTAATGATGTGTTAAATTTACTATTATATATTCCAGTCACCTTACCCTGTGCTGTTAAGGTTTTAACTGTCATTATTTGTTCAAGCCCATCTTATTTCTTTATTTTGTATTGTAACCAGCATTCTTTGTTCTCTAACGACCATATGCATCGTTAAACGACCCACCGGCGGGTCGCTTGGCGGGAGCCGACCTTATATATAGGACCCACCAACTGACTTGAGTTAGTTCCGTCCTCTTGTCATACAGTCCACATTCTTTGAGTAACACTTGTTACTTGTACTTAATTTATTTGTGTTGTTCCTGTCGCCACCAATGTGGTATATCTATGTGAGTACCTATTTATGTCTCTGTTTGTGTCCATCAGTATTTGCTTAGTTGTATTCAAGTAATTCAGTGTTGTTTCACGTTAGTTAATTTCAGTAATAGTTTTTATATGTTTATGCAGTGTTAACGTAATCCAATGCCTTATTTTTATTGTTTCAATGTTTTGTATCACTTGTGTCTTAAAAGTTTCGATGGTGAATCAATTTGTTGTGACAGCCTACGAGGCTCTTTATTGTGTTAATATTTAATGGATTAAATTCTTAAAGGTTTACTTTATTTATTTTTATTCTCTTTTAATTTACTTC